AAATCAATATTTAATTTTATAAATCTAAAAATTATAAATAAGGGGTTCATAAAAATTCAAATAATAATATTAAAATAATTTTCATCATAAGACAAATACAATTAAACTAATTTGATGGGAAAATAGTCCATATGGTTTAGGAATCAACAAACATGCGGCACTCCACCTTCAACTATAGACTATAGACCACACTTGCTTTATCAGACAGACTCAGTATTTTTCATGACCTATAGTCCAAACAGGGGCTCATTAGCGGGTCACTAAAGCCCGCTTGATGAACCAAGGCGGTTCGCAATCCCAGTCTGTAGATTGCAGGTCTTCCTCTAGAGATGAGTCAACGTCACTAAGACCTGATGCGACAACAGCTCCTATAGTGCATATGGGTATCTCTCGCACACAGATACGCTTCACCTTAAAAGGTGGATTTCTGGCTTTTTCGAACGATCTATCGATATGCATGCTTTGTGATGACACATGGATGAGGCTTCAGCCCCTGTCTCTGTAGGCCACCATCACACACAAGGGTCACACGGTCCCTCGACTCACTCATATGGGCATATTCTCCAACATCATCAAGGGCTAACCCATTAGAACCCTTCTCGGTTTGCTCTTTATGCCTAGGTAACATGAGTTTTTCCCAATCAACTGGCCTAGATCATCAAGCACAGTTCGGTATCATTAAACATCGTTTGCTTAGTATGGTCCACGAGGGACCACACTCCCACTGAATTTATGTTCCACTATATCATTTCAATTTTACAAGTACTCATAAGGCTACATAAACCCAACATAATTGCCTTCTCTCTCTCCATTATCTCTCTTTCCCTCTTCCCATAATATAAGGTTCCTAAAATTTGTTATCTCTATCTCCCTCTTCCCAATGCCAATCTAAGATTCCTAAAATTGATGCGTGGAGATAAGGTTCCTAAATAGAATGAGATTATTTATGAAACATGTTCTTTCTCTCTCTCTCTCTCTCTCTCTCTCTCTCTCTCTCTACTACTCTACTCTACTCT